AAGAAAGAAAGAAAGAAAGAAAGAAAGAAAGAAAGAAAGAAAGAAAGGACAAGAATTGCTTTTGTTTGTTTGTTTTGAGTCTCTTATGACATCACATACTATTTTCATAAACAAACATGATCCTAATACATTCACCTATGAGTTCACCCTTAAATAAATGATTTGGGTGTGGAATGCTTTCTTTCAGATCACTCTAGTATTCTTTAATCCATCTGTCTTAGTGTTCTATTGTTGTGAAGAGACACTAACCATGACAACTCTCACAAAGGGAAAGCATTTAATTGGGGCTGGCTTATGGTTCATAGGTTGATTCATTGTCATCATGGTGGGAAGTATGGTGGCATGCAGGCAGACATGGTGCTAGACTAGTAGCATATGAGTTCTACATCAGGACCTGCAGGCAGCAGGAACAGAGACAGACACTGGGCCCGGCTTCAGTATTTGAAACCCCAAAGCCCACCCCTAGTGACACACTTCCTCCAATGCCACATCTACTCCAACAAGTCCATATTTCTTAATCAATAGTGCCACTCCCAAAGCATCCAAATATTTGAGACCATGGGAACCATTCTTATACAAACTACTACACCATCCATTGTCTCTTAAAAAAAATTAAAATCTTTTAGGTGGCAGGGAATTGCAAAGGTTTTGTATAATGCAAGATCATAATCAGAAAATTGACAGCAGTATGATATTATTAGCTAGGACTCAGCTCTTGTTCAGATGCCTGCCACATCTGCAGTGTTGTGTTGTTTAGTCACTTGTAGATGTTTGTAGCCACCAGCAGCTCCACTGTGTGTTTAGTGGAAAGTGTAAGACCAAGCAGAACCATCTCTACGTCTCTAACATGTGGTGCACTTTATACTCCCATTTTGCTGCTCCCTGAAATTGTAGGGGTGGTGGTAGTGCTGGGGTAGCGTGGCTCTGTTTCAGAAGTTTCATTCGGGTGGGATGGTTTTGAGTTTCTGGGCTGTGCTGAGGTAGAACAGCACATGAGCAGAACTGTTCTATCACGTCAGACAGGAAGCCAAGACCATTTTCTTGGAATCTTTTCCTCCACCCTAGCCATTTAGCACCGTCATCAGCTCTATTCCAGTGTGGATCCTTTGATTTTAGTTTTACCTGCTGTTTGTATGTAAATGCTCTTGCTTTGTGCAGGCTCTTCACTGTGGTGCTTGCCCAGACCCTCCTCAAGGGCCCTGACTGTGAGCACAGTGCCCACTCAGCCCTCGGCCCCCCCTGGCCACCATTCTTCCAGTCTTGTTTTTTTCTACTTTCTGGAAAAACTTGTCATGTTTATGTAGAACCGATGTTGACTTTCGTATTTTGATGCTAATTCTGTTTTTGTATGTTTAGATTTACTATTATTATTATTATTTTTACCTCATCCAGCCCCATTTTCCTTCTTAAGAAAAGAACTGCTTTTTCTTGGCCAGGTGCCTCTTCTCTTTATTTTGCTGTTACGTTCTTCTTCGTAGACCATATATGTTCAGAAGTGCTGAGGAATGCAGAGAGATATTTAATGAAAATTTGCTTAGTTTTGCTTCCTGCAGTGTCTCTGGGAGTTTACAATGTGTCATTCTTGTTTGTTCCAGAATCTTTCCTGGACTGAGTTTTCTGTTCTTTCTTCCTTTCAGCCTGAGGTGGGAGAGTATCTGATTGGAGAGACCCATCAGCTTGAGGGGAGGAGGGTCACCCAGTTGCTTTCTCTGTGTCTGGATCAGGGTTCTACCTTCTGGTGCATCTTTCTCTTTGCTCTGACATATAGTGAGAATTTTGGTTTCTTTAAAAACCCAGTTAATATTGTCAGTATGTTTTTGTTTTAATCCCAGGTATGGGATATGGTCCTGCTCCAGACTGTCCATAGCAGCTGACTATGATTTGACTTGTGCTTTAGGAGAGGTGTAATTTTTGCCAGCTGCTGATGGTTTACATTTGGGATTTGGGGACTATTGAGAGGCCCTGTGGCCATGGCTGCTGGTTCCTGCTGCTACTGGTTCCTACTGCTGCTTTTGCTGTTGTTGAGTTGCTGGCTTGCTGATTGCTGGTTGGAAATATTCTGACAATGAAGACTGGATTTGCCCCAAAGAACTTGATGCCCCTAATCATCAAGAAGTAGTCCAAAG